AGGTAGGAGATTTTTTCTCTGCTTGAAAGCTTTCCCTTGTCTCCTAGAGGAAATACGAATTTAGCCCTTGAATGGGTTCCTGTGCAAGTTTGTGCTTTGTGCAAATGGCAAGCCATTCCTTTGAAGAACAGGGTTCAAAAGTGTATACAGGAGAGAAACATGCCTCACATATACATCTGTATCTGTCAAGTTAACTAAAAAATGGGAGGCTTATACGAGTTTGCTTGCATAAAATCTCTCCAGGCGCACTTGTATATATGTGTCCCTTGCTTTGAAGCAAAGGAAAGAGATTTTAGAACTGTGTGTTTAGACAAATGTTTTTGAATTAAGAAAGTTCTCCCCATGGAGGAAAACCAGATGTCTTTATAAGTTGTTACCTTTTAAATGCCTTCTTGTGATTCCTCCAGGGTTCTTTTTTCCCCCCCAAAATGGAAAAGTCACATAAGAGTCTGTTTTGTTTTTGTTTTGTTTTGTTGGAACAGACAAGTTGTGAAGAGGAGAAAGTATTTAAACAATGTGGTTTAAAACAAAGCAACAGGGAGAGGAAGACAGACTTTATTTGAAAAAGATGAAAACAGTGTTTTCTGGAATAGGAAGTGATGCCTCCCTTGTGAGGCAGACAGAGGGAGCCTCCTGTGATGAGGTTTCCTGTTGCCATTGTTCCCCATGGCTGCTTCTGGGCAAAGCAGGGTGTCTTTCTCTTGAGAAAGACAGAGATTCTTGTTCCAAAGAGCAGCAGCTTTTCAGGCGGGAGGGAAGGAAGGGGAGGGAGGGAAGAGTTTGTTAAGTTGGAGCTGCATTTCAGAACCTGCTTGCCTGGCCTTCCTGCAGGCACCAGCTTCTCAGGTCAATCTCCTCATAGGCTTGCTTCATGGTGACACGAGGGGCCTTGGCTCCAGGGTTGCTGGTTTTCTGCCAGAGTAGGCCCGAGGAGCATACAAATAGGAAAATTACACCCTCCGCAGCTGCTGAGCCAGCTGTCACCTCTGGGCTGGCTTACACCTGGAAGGCTGGATTCCTTCTTGGAGGAAGGGAGGCCATGGCTCCCTCACTGGGGCCAGCTGATGCCAGCTGAGGTGTTCCGGCCTCAGCCTGTTCATTTCCCTCAGCCTAAGCCCAGGCCGCTTTCCAGCTCCTCCGTGCTATCGAATCACCACCCTTCTGGTATCGAGGGGACAGACAGGAACGCTGAGGGAAATGGTAATTCGGTTTGTTCCACGCCTGCGGAAAGGGGTGGGCAGGGAGAGCTCAGGCTCACTCTTCAGAAGTGGGATGATTTGTGAGGAGCTAATTATCCCTGCTATCTCTGCCATTGTGTTGGAAGTGGTGTAATTGTTAATTTGTGCCAGAGAGCAGCAGGCTCCCTCCTGTGCGTTGTCACTAAGTACAGGATTGTGCACACCCATTAAAGGCAATGGCCTGATTTCGTTATGTGATTTAGTGCCGCTCAGTTCCCCCCATGAGTTTTTGACAGATAGAGAGGCTGGCTGGGTTTAAAAGGCCCCGGCGGTGAGGATGCAGGAGGAGGATTTGTGGCCAAGAAGCCGACTTCTTTCTTTGCCCTCCCTTGTCTTTCCGACTCTTGCTGGGGTGGGCCCTGCCTGAGATGTGAAAGGAGGAGACGGTGCCTCTGACCGGATGAGAAACTATAGGGGTGGGTGGGGAGACCTGCCCCTTTAGGGAAGAATGCGCCCGTTCCCCTGGTGAGAGGTGGCTGCTGAGAAGTAATATATAATTCACAAGGCCATGCTGTTTCATGCAGATGGTGATATTCAAGGATAACTGACATTAGAGGAGCAGAATCTCCGAAGCCTGCCTTTTCTTCACCCTTTCTCCTTCCTCTCTTGGCAGTGATCTCTTGAAGCTATCAACATGAATGCAAGTAAATAAATAAACAACCAGCCTCACCACACCTGTAAACTTTAGACATTGTATAATTTTAAAATTTTCTGACTGGTCTCTAGTTTTGGCCTTTGCTGGAAAAGGCCAAAACTGTTTTTCCTGAATTGGATAACTCAGTGCTTTAGGCATCTGGGAAAAGGCCAAAACTGTTTTTCCTGAATTGCTGGATAACTCAGTGCTTTGGGCATCTGGCGGCAAAGCCAGAGGCTGAGAGTTCAATTCCCCACTCTGCCTCTTTGAAAGGGGCTAGATCTGATGATCCAAAGCGTACCGTCCACCTCTAGATTATGAGGATGATTGCCATCTATTCAACCAAGGCAGTGCTTCATCAGTAACAGCATTTGCAGGGGGCTTTGTGGGGAAATGGGGTGCAAGAACCAGAATGGTCACCCAAGGAAGAAAGGGGGAAGAGTGTGTATGAAAGGCGGATGACCTAGACGGATGTGGCAGAAATAGGCAACTGGTAGGCAGAGAGGCAAGGGGAGCGGGAGGGGAAGGAGTCAAAGCTGATGCCAGCTTTTGACTCACTGACAGCCCTTTTAATTGACTAATCCTAGTTAAGTCTTCTCAAACACCACCCCCTAGATTTCACCGGGTTTTCCTCCAAATATGTTTCACAGACAGAAGCATGTTGTGTGTACTTTTACGTGTATAGAGTGTTTCCTTTATTGGACTCTCGGTGGTGGCCCCTGCCTGAGGTGTCAGTACCACCGGGTGTGGTGCCATGGAAAACAGCGTCACTTAGGCAGACCTCAGCTCGTTGATTGGGAGAGAGTGGACCACCACTTGATGCTTTTTATGACTGTGCGCACAGCCCGTTTCGCCTGAATTCCTAGATCGCAGAGACACCCCACTAGGGTGGCTAGAGGGTAATAACACCAGTATATGCTGGTGACAGAGGAGCTGGTGTGCAGCCTTGTCACTTTTTATGGGCCCGGTGAAGAGGAAAGTGATGTGCCGCAAGGACAGACATTGAATGGGAAAGAGGGACATGGCAGGCGTTCTTCAGACTGTTATCAATCCCGCATATGATGCCGATGCCATTCCTATCCCCACCCCATAGCCTGTAATGAAATAATAAATCAGATTTGTGGCATTGGTAAGATGAAAAGCTTTCTTGAAGATGAAATCAGCCTCCTGGGTCCGTGGTTATATAACCAAGGGCGGAAAGTGCTTTCCTCACTTGAGAGGTAATTGTTACCAGGTTGTTTGTGGGCCAGCACCACAAAAACCACCGCTCTTGATTACTGTATTGCCCTCTTTAATTCCAACTGCTCAGCTTGGCTTGTGATGTTGGAGGAGACAGGGAGGAGATGAAGGCAAAGCCAAGAAGGGGAGAGGTTTGGAAAGGAGGAGGGGGGGAGGACTGGGGTGTAGGAGCCCAGCCTTGTGGTTGTTGTGACTGAAACAAGGGATGCTGAGATGTGATCTGGAAACGATTCCTTATTGTGCCAGAAACATCGTGTGTGGGCCTATGTGGGACGTGAGGAACCTCTCATAGACCAAATCCTGATGTTAGACAGCAGGGATATTTGTCCAAGATGCTAAATTGTAAAAAGCTGCAATGGTGCTTAGTAACTGCTTGAGTTGCTTCCCAGTAACCTCGGAGTTCCAGAGGCAACATTTAGGGAAACTGTTTGAGATCAGATATAAACATTACTCAGGAGAACCACTTGTATTTCTAACTTGTCATTTGATGTATAGAAATTAAGTAGGGCTGGTATATTTGATGGGCATGGAAACCCTCTTTTGATGATATAGAACGTTAGACTAGACTTTTTCCTAAAGTTTGGGTTCAAATCCTCATGTGGCCAAGAAGCCCATATAGTGTGACTTTGGGCCAGTAACACACGTTTGCTTAATTGCCCTTGGAGGAAAGGTGGGATGAATATTTAAAAGAAATCAAATCCTTTTGCTAAAAGAAGGAGGAGGGCTATTCATCTTCAATGGATAACATTGTTTTGGATAACATTATTTTAAGAATGAAATGCTTTTCTGCTTTTCCAGAGTTTAATTCTGAACATATGACAGAGCATGTCTTTGGCCATGCCTAGCCTTGCCAGCCTTCAGAAATCTGATCTTTTTTCCCATCTCATCTGACTTTGTTTTTCCAAAGGACTAGAGACTATATGAGCCATTGTCTGCCTGGCCACCTTAGAGGGCTTCCTTCTTTTCTTCCTTCCATAAGATGGCTGTCCAGCATTGAAGTATGGAGGTGGTTCATAAGAGCACTTTATCCAGTTATCCATATACAGTCACATTGCTGTGAGAGGGGAGAGGACAGACATGGGGGGCTAGGGAAGGGCAGAGTAAGGGACAAGACCAGGAATGTCCTGAGGTCTAGCTTTCACAGGTCCTTGAAGTCATTCAGTTTGGCTTCTGTAGCTGGGGCTTTTCTATATTATAAAGTAGGGCTCTCCTTTCTTACTTTGCAAGTATGGCATGAAGTTTGGATCTAATGCAGTGGAGGCTGGTGGCTCTTTTTCCACAGGGGCAGTCAGTCCACTCTGGTACTTTGTCCCAACTTTGTAGCTGCTATGAACACCATCCTCAAAATAAAGAGCTTGCCACTAGCACAAAACTGGAGTTACATGCCTCTACTGAACTAATGCTGTCTGTCAAGTACTGTTAGGGTAACTAGAAAAGGGGGTTATAGTAAAGGAGCTAACAGAAGGGAGGATATACAGACACCTCCTTTTAATTTGCAAAATCATCTGATGTCTCTGTTGGATGTTTGAAAGGGGACCCCCCCCACACACATCTGAAACTGCATAGGTGAGCCCATTCATAGCTGTCCCTCCACCCCTGGTCTGTCTAAGATGTGGAATGTGGGGAAGATTATTGTGCACAGTTATCATCTGGACTTTACATGTCCAGAGACTTTTTGAGTATTTGGATACTTACATGACTGTAAAAGGAAAAAAAATCTGCAGAACGTTAAAACACACCCACCCACCCACGCACACACGTACTCCAGGCATCCACTAGTACAAACCCAGAGGAATAAATCATAATATGCTTGAAGTTCATAACCAATGTCAGCTGTGGTTTTTTATTTTAGCTTTTGGTGTGTTCTGTTTTTGTTTCCTTCTTTGCAGGTCAGTCATGTGGAGGCCGTTTGAATTCCAAAGATGCCGGCTACATCACTTCACCTGGCTACCCACAGGACTACCCCTCCCATCAGAACTGTGAATGGATCATTTACGCCCCAGAACCCAATCAGAAGATTATCCTCAGCTTCAACCCTCACTTTGAAATTGAGAAACACGATTGCAAGTAAGGGCTTTTTTTTTGTGTCCTTCCCCCCTCACCCTCAGCTCTCCTCCCTACCAACTTCCCCTGGCTTGGACAATCAGTCTGTTTCTCCTGTTTGTTATGTTTCTGCTGTCTTCAGTCCCATCACGTGATGGGTGCAATATATCCTTAAAAACTGATGCAGAAGATAAGAGGGATGGATGAGTGTGGATAAACAGTAGGTTGGAATTTTGGGACTGAAAATGACAACACCATTCTGCACAGCTCTGTGTCATAGATCGGGCTTGGAGCATAGTTAATAGTTAATAAACAAGAATCTCTGATGGGCTTTTGGTATGTCTCATCTGTTTTTCATGAACACACAATTCCAGTGGTGCAATGCTGGAACCTAGGAGGTTGTAGATTAAAGTTAGCAGTGAATGTGTGTGGAGCCATATTCTGGGACCAAAAATATCTTTGCCTTTTAATCCTAGTTTTCACATTTACTACAGGCATCATCATGTTACCCATGTACGTAGGTAAGCATTGTCAGTAGCTCCAATTCTCTTATGGACAAGAAAGTACTCGCTGTGTATCCGATGTGCAAAGCAGGCAAACTACCTTCTTCTGAGCTGCAGGGGATCTGTATGAAGCTCCATCCTATAAGCATCCCTGTTTGGTTGGAAGGCCTATGCTGCAACAAGACAACTCTCCTGTGGCCCTAAGCATGTTATGTGGGATTAAATTCCACTGAGCTCAGTGGAACCTATGACAGCATGCTCAAAGCCAATTTATTAGCACAGCTGTAAACTTGAGGCTGAACACACATTTTGTCCCAATTCAGACTAGGATAAGGAAAGGGCTGAGGCTCTGTGTTTAAGCACTTGTGCATACCTTGGACATCCTGGGCCAGTTCCCAGAGGATGGATTAGGTGACAGGCAGTGAGGAAGACTCCCAATGAGAGAGATCCTGGGGAGTTGCTGCTGGCCAGAGTCTACCGTTGTTGGAGGCAAGCTAGCTCTCAACAGCGGCTGGTGAGGAATATGAGCTGGAGAGTGCGGTGGCACTCCTGTCCTTCCACAGAAGGGTGTCTATTGTGGGAAAAGAATGCTGGACTAGATAGGCTGTTGGTGTGACCCAGCATGACCTTCTGTGTGTCTTTATTCTTCCACTGTATTTGGCTTCCTTGACTCAAATTGGTGGCAACTCTCCAGAATCTCAGGCAGAAGTCCTTCCACTCTCTGCTACTTGATCTTTTTAATTGCAGGTGTTGGAAGTTGAACCTGAGACCTTCTGCATGCAAAGCATGTTCTCAGTCACCAGTCTGTAGACCTTCCCTACAACAGAGCCTCATGATCTAATTCAAGATATGCCAGTCTTGGCAATTGTGAGGCAGGCTGGAAGCATAACTCCTTTCAGGGCAGTGCAGTGAGATTGCTGCTTGGGTATTGCAACAGCTGGCTGAGAACAAGCCCTGGCGCACATTTGACAGCAATGGATTTAACTGATTCCTATGACTTCAGTGTTAATATTTCACAGTGTTATGATGCAGCATTTAGCTATTGAAGAAGATACTGATGGCAAAGACCACTGTTGTTGCCACTACCCTCAACATTATACTTGATTTATAATGAGGGGCAGAAAATCTGTTTCAGAGCATGGTGACCCCATTAATCTCACCTGCAGTAAGGAGATGATGGTAGGTGGACCAGATACAGAAAAGGGAACGAATTTTATTTTAATTTATTAAATAAGTGTACTGACCCCATGCAAGGCAAGAACATCTGTACTTCCTCATACAGTATTTCCTCTTCTGAACAGTTAATGCTACAGCCTTGTCTTCCTCTTCAGCTGGTCACTTTGGATTACTCCAGGTCCTCCAGGGGTTATTAAACTACAGCTCCCATCAGCCCTAGCCACGGGTAAGGGATGATAGGAATAATGCAACAACATTGGGAGGACCACAGATAGAAAGCCTTAGATAGAATTCCCCATAAGGATGGAAGGGGTTTGTTCTTTTTCTTCAGAAATCAGGAAGATTCAACTACACTTGGTGGATTGCAAGATCAGGGAGCCCAATGTCCAAGAAAAACAATTAGCAGCTAGTAAGAAATAATTAACAGCTTCAGTGAACACCATTAAAAGCATGAATTAATGAGGTAGTCCCTTGGGTCTTGCAGCCCTATTTGAACGTCTGTAGCCTAGAGACTGTCTAAAACATACAGCTTTTTCTGACTGTCTAGAACTGGGTTTAATCCTTCCGTCTTCCTTCCCCATGGTTTTAAATCCTGTTTATTTCAGAGGTGTGGGACACAGTAGCTCTTCGACTGTACAGACAGTAAAGATGGCAGCAACTCTCTATACCCTTTCATCTACTGTAATTACAGAAGTAAGGAACAGGAAAACATTTCTGTTGTGTGCATTTTGTTTTGAACCTAACTAGAACACCCTTTAGAAAAATATATGAACTATAGTGCAGTTTTTCTTGTGATGTGCACTTCTCCCATAACAGTAGACAGAGAAAGGCACATTTTATTGAAAATCAGATATAAAATGCATTGTATTCTGAGAAATTGCTTACTAAACTAATATACATCTTAGTCAACATTAGAAAGAAATGTATGCACAACATTTGTGTGAAATTTCATGTGAACTGGAAAAAATCCCACTGATTTATAAGTAACTTGAGACTGGAAAAAAACAAGAAACTGAGAGAAACTGAAATTGTCATGTTTGTTCGTCATTCTAACAGAAGATTGTGGTAAATTCATAAAGTTGCTTCCCTCTTTTTGCGTGAAGGCAATTATTTGCATCCCCTGCAACTTATGTTTAAGATCTATTTTGGGACAGAAAAATGTAGGATTGCTCTGGTGGTTACCTGTGCCAGGGATTGGGAACTCCTGAGATTCCAGGGGGCATTTTTGTTCATCCGGGACCCTCTTGGTTCCCTACCCCCAAACTCTCTAAAATTATTTTTCTTCTACTGTGACCCTTGCATATCAAATTGTGCTCCTAGAACCTTATGGGAGTGACTTGCCCTTTGCAGGTCCATTTGCCCTTCTCAGGACCTATTTCAGTTTAGAAAGGCCATTTGTTGGTTTAAAAAATGGGAGGGAGGGAGGGAGGGAAGGAAGGAAGGAAGGAAGGAAGGAAGGAAGAAAGAAAGAAAGAAAGAAAGAAAGAAAGAAAGAAAGAAAGAAAGAAAGAAAAAGAAGGAAGGGCCTGGGGTAAAGAAAGAAAGAAAGGATAATGGAAGCGAGGTTGGATAATGGAAGCGTCCCCCTCTTAGCTCTCTTCCTGAGCCCTGGTCCTCCACTGTGGTTGAATGCTGAAGCCTGAGAGAAGATACCTGGTGCTTTCCACAGGAGCAGCTGGTGACAACTTGGTTAAAGCAAGAAATAAGTTCAGTGGCTTCTCCAAAGAGCTGTGCCAACTTCAAAAACACCCCCTCCCTTTCAGAGAACTGCTGCCATTCAGAGTAGACCACGCTTGGTTCGAGACCACATGGGTCTATTTTATGCCTAACCTCCAAGAGTGGAGAGGTTGGCAAGGAAATGAGGCAGAGCCTTTTTTTCCGGCAGCATCCAGACTGTGGAATTCCTTCCCTGAGGAGGTCAAATTGGCTTTATTTGTACATAGCTGTAGCCAGGCTTTTAATTGTTGTTGTTCCCTTTAGCTTTTCATGAGTTCCGAAACAGGATTGTTTTAAGATTTGTATGTTGCCTCAGATAAATATAACTCAACCCTGGTGACCTGGAGTATCTGGGATTGTGTTTTAAACTTAGCAGAAACCATCAAATGCAAGTGCAAACAACAAAGGGAGATTTTTTTTTCCCCTGTCAAAACCATGGGCTCTGCTGAGACCCCACACCTAGTCATGGTTTGTGCTAATGATAGCTTAGAAGCCAACCCCTCATCTAGGTCTGCCTTTTTTGCTTTCTTTGTCTGCATAGCATACCAGTATTTAGAGTTGCTGCTCTGCTTTTGCTTTCTCCTGGCTCAGCACTCCCATTTCAAAGGAGCAAAGGTTTCTGGAGGCAAAGCAGCATGCTTTAATTCATGGTTTGAAGTCATATGTCATGTATTTCTGAAGGTCCTATTCTGATAGAAGCAACGGCAATGCATAATAGAACAGATTTCACAACTGAAAACCATGGAGATAAGAGTCTCATTTCATAACAATCAAACTCCGTAGACTCCTTTAAATTAAGAAGCTTCATTTGTTTATTCTATTGCAGAGTTTTGAATTTCTGGTAAAATTCCCTTTTGCTATGCAGTAGAGGTACAAAGACTCGCAGACTAGAAGAGCTGCCAACTCTTCAGAGTCCATCCCATTCTCATTAACTAGCATTTAAAGTCTCAATAACTCACTCTGGGACATTTGTAGGAGAAAGAATAAAAAATGTTTTGTTACTTACAGTTGCTTGAAATTACAGACTTGTGCATGCTGCTTTTTTTACTGCACACATACTTAGCAAGAGACTGAACAGGTCAACGACAGCAAACAACTGTTGCCAACAGACCAAAGAGAAAAAGACCTCAGCAGAGAGGTGGGGCTCTCTTTGAAATCAAAGGCTGAAATGAACGATTGGTTAGTGCTGGATAGACAGACAATCACCTCAGCCCAGAAAAGTCCCTCCCAGTCACACAAATCCCAGAGAATTATGTGAGGTTGCAAACAAAACTCCCACATATTCATGGTGGTTATCTAGTTGGAGAGGGAGGCCAATGCCCCCTCTTGGACATGTGATAAGCTGCACTATTGTTGCTCTGTGACCCATAATCACAGTGAATGGGCGTGTCCTTTCTCACTCTCCTGGAAGCTTGGAACCGACCGGGATGGTGAAGCCTTTTCTTTATTAAAAAAAAGAGAGAGAGAGGGCAAAAATTTCCACCACGTATTATGGCTTGGTACCATATGTTACCAGGGGACATATGGCCCCATCCCTAATATCATCCAGATCATGGAGGGGCTGTGGAAGCCCTCTTGCCCCAACATCAAGTTCAGTGTATACATTTCATCTCTTTGTCTGCTTCTTTG